TTAAACATGCATGCTACCGTGGGCTAGGAGCTGAAAAGAAAAATAGCTCCTCTTAATTCACTTCCCTCATAAGAGTCCTAGAGAATCATAGAAAAAACATTTTTAAGCCACATAATCACTTCTCTTAAAAAATCACTTCACTCAGATTATGGAAGCAGGAGCTCAACTAAGTAGGCCATAAGAATAAGAATCTCATGATATGGGTGTACGGACAAAGATCCAGCTCAATGGATACCGCTACTACAACTTTAGCAGTCGCCAATTCTCAGCCATTCAAACAGCATCCAACGGCCGAAATGGAGTAAGCTGCTGCTTCTATCTCATAATTACAAATGTACACAAGATAAGTAAGGTTAATTGCAAAGGCAGAGAAGTGTCCACATATATTCCTATAGACTATTCCTCAAGTGAAACCTTGTTCTTTTTGCCTCCATAGATTTAACTGCACCAAAGTAGTACCAGGCAACATCTTAAAATATATAATCGATACGTAAATAAAAGAAAGAAAAATAATTGATAATTGTCAGATCAAGGTCTCTGCATCAAATATATAATTGTTTACAACAAAAGAAAGGAGCAACGAGTGGCATTTAGAATGCCAAGTCATGCTATGCCATTCATACACCCCCCACCCACCCCCGTTCCCTCTCTGGATTACTTCAAACTCTTTAACTACCAATGCATCCGTGGTTGAGCTAATTTTGATTTTGAAAGGGGTGTGCAAAAATTACCTAGGTTCAAAAGGAAAGACATCTAAGAGAATCAAAAGACGATCTTGACTTCGATTTTCTGGGACCAGCTTATGTCTGCTCTTAAGTTCTTACTCCGTTATCCCATGCATCATGAATATCAAGCCACAACTTGAAAGCAGTATCATGACATGTCTTTGGAAATTAGTATGGCCTATAATAAAACATCTCTATGAACATGTTTGCCTACTTATCAATACATACAACATTGTATTGCCAAAACAAGATTCTGGCACAAAACAAAACCTTGTGGCACTGTGCAGAAACTACGGGCTGCTTGGAACCTTTGCTGGATACTATTTTGCCTAGCTCAGCAAGAAAATAGATCAGACTAGCTGTTTGGATCCTGCGCTTTAACTGTCTCAATTTCCGCGCCAGACAGTTTACCTTGCTACCCTGAGAGAGCCAAATTGGCTCTCCCGGGATGGCAAGCATCTAAGGGCCTGCGCCATCTGAGCAGGCAAGGCGAGGGAATCTGGCCAAAGTTCCAAGCACACCTTACGTCAATAAGAACAACAATTACTCTAAAGATTCTGATTTTGGTGTAAACAATACCAAATACAAAATTATATATAATCCTCTATTTTTAAAAAAAAACCCCAAAACTACAAAATATATGATGCCAGATCAAACAAAAAGGAATGAATTGGCAACCCCAGTTCGGCTGGTATTAAAGTCGGCTAATAAACCGGCTGAAGCTGTTTTGTTGTGAGAGAAAAATACTATAGATTCTAGCTGATAAAGCCGGCTGATAAGTTCAAGCGAACAGGCCAAACCCAATTTTTAGCATATAACAGAAAAAAAAATATAGATGTTCAGTATGCTGGTATACTTCTGAACACAAATGGAACAATTAAGACACATCCTGAATGTCATTCACCCCCACAACAAACTGGAATCTATTCAAAGGCATGACGGAAGCAAGCAAGATCCACTAGGTGTCCACCTTCCCTAAGGCCTCATTCGTTTCGCTGAAAAAACAAGCCGAAACACTGTTCCGGCTGATTTGTTGTGAGAGAAAAACGTTGTTCCGGCTGAAAAAACAAGCTGAAAAATACGGATTATAAGACAAGCTAATTCCAATCAAGACCATAATTTCTAGAGCAAGGAACTTATCCCCACTATCAAAGATACCTCTAGCTAGCTATACCCAAAATACGCAAGCATCATCTAATCAGAACCACAAATTATTAAGATGTTATTAACATAAGGAAACATAAAGTGACCCTAGATAACTATACTTGCTTTGCTTTTCCTTTTTACGAAAAGAAAGGTAAGCATGGTATCTTGTCTAAGCATCAACTGGGTATGTATAATAACCAATGAAAAAAATATATATGTGGATCAAGCAAATAAACGTCATCAGGATACATGGAAGACAAAACGAAGGTATTTCGATCTCTCGAAGCACGCATGGAATCTCGATCTATCTATATGTTAAATCATGCGAGAGCTATACTACCTTACCACCAGAGTAGTATCAAGCATAACTGGGAGACATTAGACATAATAATAAACCCAGGAACAGGAACTCCAAGAACTCAAGAAGCAGCAGTCAGTCAGTCACTGCCGCCTCATGCCCTTAATAACCGAAGTGAGAGCTGGATGCAGAGGTTTATCGACCGATTCCCGCGTTGTTTGCAAGCTGCTGCAACAATAAACGCTTGAACCACCACTACTCCCGGACCAGCACAAGGCAAGGAAGGGATCGATAAACCACTGCGCCCAGACACCACCCGTAGATATAGAGATGTAGTCTGACGAAAACAACCTTGCATCAATGCAAAAAAAACAGGGACGGCAACACAAGAAACACCTGGGAGAGATCACATGTATGTTACCCCATATGGCCGGCCATATGTGTAGATGCTGCTGGTCAGGCTGGGTGGCTGGCTATACAAACAAGAGGGAAGTTGGAGGTGGGAGATCTGGATCTGGGATTTATATGCCACATTGGGTGGAGGATGTGACGGGAGAGGGGAGAAGAGAAAGGGGGTGGTGGCGCCGCGCGGCCCCGGCCCAGCAGTGGGCTCCGCGGCTGGTGGGGCACCGAAGTGGGGGAAGACGAGGAATCTTTCTGGTGCTGTGGCGGGTGCGGCAGCAGATAGGGGTTGGCACTTCGCTTCTTGGCTTCCGGCCGGTTCGCTCGGCTGAAAATACTAACGATAAAAATACTGTTCGTTCCCTAAAACAGAGACAAAGTGAACCGGGTCTTAGTTGGTTTTCCATTGATTTTTTTCTTGAGACCATGGGAGGAGTGGACGAAGAGAGAGGGAGGATCCGCTCCATTGGGTGCAGGGCCTGCAGCTGCAGGGGTCCGGTCCCTCCCTCCATGGCTCCCATTGCTTTGGCAATCGGCACTAGCGATGATTGTTGGTTTTGACGCGTTGCGACAGGCGGCGGAGTGGGGGCAACCAAGCAATTGCAGAGCTGGTTCAGTGAGCGCAGCTGGATAAGGACAGGTGTTGCCACTGCCCACTCGTCACCTGGTTCTCTTCTTTGGCATGCTCCCTCATTCCCAGCAGCCAATTAATTGAGCATGTAAGCCAAGCATGCATGGATGTGTCCTAACCTTGAACTGCCAAGTTTGATTGCCAGAAAAAGTTGGCCGAAGTCGCTTATTTGGTGGGAGTGAATTTGATTTCTATAAAATTGTGTTATATATAAGCTAGGAGTAGTTGAACGCGCGAGCTAAATGGAGTTTGGAGGCGGTCAAAGGACACCTATTTGCTACATTTTTTATTTTTACAAAATTTAATAAAAATATTAAAAAAACATCCCAATGTCACCTTTTAGGCTCCTTTGGAATGCATGAATTTCACGTGAATCTCACGGGATTCATTTTCACAGGAAATAGAAAAAATTCCTCCAATCCAAAGGGGCCTTGAAACTGGCCCTTTGAATTGACCAGAATTTTGGAGGTCTTTAAGTCATTTGCTTTTATCGATAAGAAAATGTAGTTTAATTAAAAACTCAAATATAATATTTAGGGAAGAGCTTCAGACTTCAGAACTATAAAAATCTATGAAGCCTGGGTAAAATTAACCGAAACCAAAAAACCGAACCGAAAGAACTGGAACCGAAACCGAAGGAACTAGAACCGAAAAATTTTGTTCCTAATATTGAGGAACCGAAATAACTGAAACAAATTAGGTTCCTACTCTCGATTAACCGAATTAACCGAAAGAACTGAATTATATCAATTATACTTCACTTCCTTGCATTTTGTAAAATTATGTTTGGTTTATGTATGATATTTCATATTTGAATTATTATATATTTGTGTTACTATATTGGTATTGTTCACTTATGAATTATTATTATCTAAAATGTATATAGTGTTGCATAAATTTACTTTAGAACATGCATATTTATCATTGTCTTAGCCTCTCCTGAAAAAGTTCGGTTAGTTCGATTAGAACCGGAACTAAACCGAAATAACCGAAAATCGAAATGGTCGGTTCCTAGAATTTTTGAGAACCGATCAGTTTCCATTTTCTAAGAACCGAATTTCTTCAAAAACCAAGGAACCGAACCGAGAACCGAATGCACAGGCCTAATGACGCCAGACCAAACAATATAATTCATCCTTGATTTTTAGTACCTACATAAAAAATACTCATGTGTTCTTTCTATGATAGGCGACGTGCCTCCATTAATCGATGGGATGCCTATTGTGATTTCATCAATCTCGAGATTTGTTGGCTTAGTATTTTTTTTTGAGTTGTTTATATAGATATGATGTGAGTGTATGTATATGCATGAGTGTATACATATGTTTGAAAAACGTGTCAAATTTATCGTTTAGGACATGTTATTTAAAATATTAGTTTTTAGGTTTAAATAGAAAGAATTCTAGTTGGTACTTGGCAGTGATTTTTAGGCCTTTTCCAATCTTGTTTTTTTTTAAGTAGCCCAAATGCCATGTAGAATCGGATAAAAAAGTAGGTGCTTTATATTTGTCATAGCAGAAGCTACATACTCCATATGCTCGGGGAGAGTGAAGGTAGTCCATGCTAAAAAAAAAGAGAGAAAGAGGAAATAAAAGTGAAGCATGATGAAAAAAAAAAAATTGTACAAACCATGATAGTTTGCATTGTGTGAGTAGTAATCTCAACATTTACTAATATATGTGGATCACTTTATTTGTACTAAACCCACTAGAGCCACATTCGGTTCGGTACGCAGGGAATGACTTCCTAAAACCGTTCCTAGCCAGAACACTTACACAATTTGTATAGGCCAAGCTTCCTAGGAATCGTTCCTGGCAAGAATGACAAGAACCCAACGAGGCTTGGTGGTGCCCTCGTTTAGGTGTGATGTGTGCCCCAGGTTTGAGTAAGCCTGGACTTTTGCAACTTGGTGAATGATGACAGGCACCTGAAATGTCCCCAACAAAAAGGGGGCTCAGAAGATTCGTTGGCTCAGATGTCAACACAGGAATCATGAGAAACCGAAAATTTGAAATTTCTCCTTTGTCTGCAGCTGGCCAGCCAGCAACAAATCACTGTCAGGTTAGTAAAATGAGATGGGGACATGCCAAACCTGAAGTGCATCATCACTGTGGATAAGGATAAAGACCGTCAAATCAAAACCACTGTAAATATTTCTAAACGATAATGCCCGGCATGTCATGCCCAGGAAACAACAGTAGGTTCTATGGCGGAAATGGTTGCCACGGCTTATCATTGTCCTAATCTGAACGAGACAAACAGGGAACACAGAAGTTCAAGTAAATCACAGGTTGGGCACTTTTCTAGTCATCAACATCATCACATTTCCAATCAAAACAAAGGGAACAAAGGGAACAGGTATCGCTCTTCAGCTGAATAAACATACATGTCACCATCTGCAACGAAATTCAAATACCAAGGGCATCTTACCATATGAAGATCATTTCATCTGACAAAAAAATTGAAGCAGGTCGCACACGTTAGTCATCAGATGAGCTATTAAGCTCCCTGTAAGGTTTTGTTTTATATATTTTCTCCATGGATTTCTTGCAACTTGCAAAATATTGTGGCAAATTGCCTCCAGAATCCAGAATTAGAAATAAACCAGGTGCGATCACTCTGGCCCCAGAGGTCCTCCTGTTTCAACAGAGCATCCAGCAACTTCTGAAATCTGAAGCTCTAATTGTCTAAATATGAACAATAAACCGCCTGCTGGCAAAAAGGGAGTGAATATGCACAAGAGAGTTGAACGATCATTTCCACGCAAAGTGAAGGGTACAGGAGTCTTGTATTAACATCACAACAGCATGCTATTTTTCCCATGAAGAGTCAGAGTATCTTGGCAGTTGCAGAACTTTTCACGTACGCTTACGCCTCAGCTGACCAAACAGCTGCACAGGTCAGATTTCTAATGCATCAGTTATTATAATCTAGAATTCTAGAATGAGTACTGTAGAATTTAAGGCTTATATATATGCAGGGATTCTCTGTTTCCATTCAAAGGAAATTAAGGCTCAGAGAAATTGATTGTTGAGGTATAAGCAACTCTATCAGAAAAAGCAGTTAAAACTTAAAAATACTGCTAAAAACTTTCACTTTAAGAAGTTCCTCAGTAAAATATAAACTTACCTGGAATGGGTACTGCAGAATCCAACCAATGATTGGTATTTGATACAGGAAGGCCTGGATAGGAGGCCCATAACCACTATAAAAAAAGGAATGGAAGAAAAAGTCAGTAACAATTAAACTAAGAAACCATTCTTCTAGCAAACTAGGTATGATCTGATAGACTGATAGAGAAGGACCTGAAGATCACAAAAGATCCATATAGTTCCATGATCATACCAGCAACAGGCCAACGGACAAACAGAAGAAACAAACCAAAGAAGAAAGGTACTGATCCCTGTGGAACAAGAATAACATTATCTCTTTCAAATACAAGACAAATAAATGAGGTCAGCGTTCGAGGGAGAAGCTATATATTAGTTAAGATCAATCACGAGACATTCTAATGCTAATGCACTTGGATTTGCTAGATGGAAATTGCTGCCACAGAGTATGCATTCTGCAATACTGTATATCACGTATGTCCTTGTCTCCTGGACTTGTGCATGGCTCAACTTTAGCCACATACAACAACAAAGCCGCCTAGTCCCAAGCAAGTTGGTGTAGGCTTAAGACCGACTTAACACACATGTCCACTAAAAAACATAACCACAAGCAACTTTGAATAACACAAGGCTACTAATTGCCATGGAGGGAACATAACCACATCTCAGCATTTTTTTGTCGCTAAATAAATACATCCTCATAAGGAATTATTTGTTTGCTTATAAAACTATGCTAAGAGAAGTTGTGGCATCAATACACATATTCAGAAGGCTAACTGAAAATGAAAAATTGCAAATCAAGAAGTTACTAATTTGGCGAAGGAATAAACAAAACTAATTATCACATAAAACCATATTTCATACAAATACAATTTTCCAAAGTCAAAGACAAAAGGCTAAGGAAGAACAAAACTATAATAATTCTATCAATTTCCTTTCAACTTAATTTTCTGCTTCCACATTTTTATGATATGGTGAAACAGCCACTATCACAAAGCAGCCCGAACACTAGGAACTTTATCAATTCAACACAAGTTCATGTTTAGAACAGGAATAAAAAAATACGAGAAACAATAATGGAAAAGCAAACTGCAGAAAAGTGGATCCTGTACAACAACAGCAGCAACGACGACGACGACGACAACAACAACAACAACAACAACATAGCCTGTATGCAAATTTAGAATACCTTAAGGTTTGCCTTCTTTGTGAAAAGCTGCCACATAGATTGCCAACCGATTAACAGACCCACTCCAGTCAAAAAGAAAATCTAGTATAATATAAAAACAGTGAGACCAGAAGGAGTCAGAGTATTCATTAGATACGTAGTAATACAAGACAAGGATTGAGAATTGTAGTATCATACATTACCCAGAGCCAACAAGCCCCTATCGAAGAAAAGGATAACACCAAGGAATGAGAATAGGATGCCAAACCCCACGAGACCTATGCCAATCTCTTCACATTGAAACATGGGGAATAAAATAGAAACTATTAGTACTTCAACTTAAAGAGGCAAATAGATGAGATCAACAAATATGAACAAGTGACAACTTTCTGTAATTGGAATCCAAATGCTATGACATGGCAAATATGATATACTGGGCTACTGGCTCTATTTTACAGAGCATGTACATGCTCAGAGTTTTCAACTTAGCAGGCCCCTCTTTCTGCTACCATGTTGTTTTGAATTAAATTCGGTTTACTTTGTGATTTTCTTTGAAAGCTTGTGATATACCTAGAGATCTATGTTTGAATAGGAGTGCTCGGAAAGCAGCTATTGATGTGCCTGAACCGTGACTATGAGCTCTTGCTGGGTTTCAACTCTAGCCTACCCCAACTTGCTTGGGACTGACAGGCTTTGTTGTTGTTGTTGTTGTTGTTGTTACTTTGTGATTTTCAACAAATTCAATGTGAACCAAAGGTTCTGACAGGAAAAAAACGACAGTATGCAATACAAACTATAAGATAGCAACAGTCTTTTCAGTAATCAATGTAGAAGTAGAACGAGAGTTCTGGTAATTTATTTTTAAATTGTAAACAGGTAAGGCTAATGCCTGCAAGTTTGAGAAATAAAGGAAAGGCTAATGAAAGCACATCGATTACTTGTACTAAGTAACAATCTTAATTGAAAATAAAACATTACTTTTGATTTCACTAATCTCGTAGGCCATGGCCCCAGCAGTTGAAGATAGCAATAAAGTTTCACTTCAATGAACCACTAACTGAACCTGCAAAAGATACCAAATATTAGTTTCTTAGAAAGCAACTTCAGTCAACAACTGAAGAAAGGAAAATCAAGCTCATAAGACTCCAATATTGAACAGAGTCAGGGACCTATTGAATGTCCTCTCTTAGTAAATAGCACTATACACCCCTGTTTTCTTACTTTGTTTCGTGCTCAGTGTTCCTAGACCCTAGTGACGTACTGTCATAGTCAGAGTCGAGATAATCACCACTGGAGGGTGTCCTGGGTGGAATCAGTTATTAAGGATGAGAAACTGGATCATCATGAAATAGAAGTACAGATGTAGATGAGAAATTAGATGGACTGATTCTTGCTTTGATCAAATGAGGAGACTGCCACAGCCTTATATAAGCTAATAAATCCAATCCTGATGCTAAAAGCCTGGAACTAACAACCTTATCTTGTATCTAGCTAACAATCCCATTTTTAATCTTATCTCTCTAACCAAACTAATCCAGTCTCCTTCTGTACATGATGGGTGGTTCATGGACATGCTGGCTCATACCCCCCCTTCATCCACACCCATGACATGTACCATGGATTACAATCGGGGTATGTTTAGTTGGCCAACAGTGCATCTGAATTACCAAGATACACAACATAGCAGATGTTTAGCTAGAAAGAAATTGAGCACAGCCAGGACTGAAGCAAAATGACAGTTTCCTTTGGTGTTTTACAAACATAGAAAAATTGATGAGTGATTTGCTTAAGTGGTACTTCTGCAATGCTAAGATACTATGATGCTATTTTTTCTGACACAAGCAATACAAAAATATGTTGCCAAGGTGACCACTGACCACCTAGCTCAACTAGGCACTAGGCGACACCATCCTGCCTAGCCCCACCTTGGCTAGCATAATCACCAATAGGTTCAAGGCAAAACTGTCACCAACCACAGCAAAGGAGAACACTGATATAAAAAGGCACCATCATTTGCAACCTAGAAGGCTACAATTTACGATGCAGGTGACAGAAGATTCATTGAAGAAAGTGGACCTATACAAACGATGAGATCACCCTAGCAAAATGCATCACTAGCTGCACCCTTCATCTTCATATTTGCAGATATAAAGGAGAAGCATTTGCAAATTTGAAACTGAAATAGCTACAATTATCAGAACTAACATGTACACTAAAAGCCGATATGTTCAAAAAGGAAAAATCTGCAAATAACAGTAAGCTGCTTGAGGATGGTGCAGTACTGTGCATGATTTTTACTGCAAGATTCACATGATCGACCGTGACCAGATAAAACCGAAACAGTGATTTTGATGAAATATAATTAAGATAGAACTGTACTTTAACAAGAATACACCAAATTTTTGTTGGCACATCATGCTTGACTGCTTGCTATCACTGCCATATCCAGCATGAAGTTTATAGTAAGCTCCTGACATGGTCTTCATTGAAAGCACACTCTGAGTGTTCTCTAAATGTGATGCCAGCTTTCTAGACTCTTCAGGGCAAAATCTCTCTAGAAAGCCAAAAAGCTACGAGAAAATCAGGATACACCAAAGCACAAGCTGTTTTGGAATACCACATGAACAACATAATAACTCAGATAAATTGCAATAACAAATTCAAATTACCTCCCTCTTACAAATGTAAGATCCACTATATAATTTGAAAATTAAAGAACATGTTAGGTGGCCAAGAGTACAAAATGTGAAGTAATCTCATGCTAGGTAGGAGTAATTCCTAACTAAATGACCGCAAAGGGAACAGAGGCATTGGCCACTAACTACCATCAGGGGCGGTCGGGCGGACCCAATAAAGGACATGGGTGTATGCAAAAATAACGAAAAATAAGTTTGTAGGCATAATACATATATACTGCACTTGTAATTGAATCAGAACAGATCCGAACACAGATAGCTTGGGTTTGGGTGCTCCGTTTCGCACAGCAGGAACGGAAAGAGGTGAGCGTACCTGGTGGGTGCTCGTCGCCGGAGAAGGTCCCCAAGATGGAGATCTAGGAACCTGGCGTAGGGCGGCGGCGGCGTCGTTCCAGTCGGCACCACCAGAGACGACAGAGCGCACGCGAGGAGACGGGAGAGGCACCGGCGGCCCGGCGTGGATTCTCTAACGTGAGGAACAGAAGTCACGGGTGACTTTTTTTCCCTTCACGATGTCATCCATTTAGAATCCAACGGCTGGTGGCCCTTCTGCTTTCTCAGTGTCTTGTCTGTCCAGCCCAGACGTAAATGGCAGCCCAGTAAAGTCCAGTTCACGGAGAGAGGACGAGGAGGAACACCTATTTCACCGTAAAGAACGTGGTTTATTTTGAACCACATCTAGAACTACTAAATCAGATCCACCATTTGTTTATCTTGTCATATGTAAACTTTGTTTTATGTCGTCTCTATGAAAAATATTTAGTATGTTGATTTCTCTTCTTTTAATTAATCCTGTGGATGCTATAAATTGGTGGTGTAGCAAATTGTTAATAACATGGAGTTATACATTGTTGTGCTTGATCAACCGTCTAAAAAAAGATCTAATGAGTAGAGAAATGTCTCGTTGTGTCTATGGAAATGAAAAGCGCCTCTATATATAAGTGTTTCCATGTGTAAGCATACTATATCTAGATCTAAATGACTATCTCTATATGCAACTTTTAGGTGTGTTGAACCATGTCTATTATATGCATATAATTAGCATAGAGACGGACCAACCATGTCTGTCGATGTAAATTGTCTCAACATGACTAAAGACGGATAATTTTAAAATAAAGATGGGCATCCTGTATCCACAAAATTCTTCCAAAATTATTTGACTCCATATTGTAGGCAGCAAAATTAAAAATACAGCGATAAAAACTAAATTTTCACCAAATTTGTACTCTCATCACAAATACCTGCACCCACAAGTAAGTGCACCCTCTTTAGATTTGCTCTAACTCTAGTTCTTGTGGTGACTAGTCACTAGTGAAATGTGAAAAAAAAACCTTTGTCATCCACTGCGTTTTCAGCAAAATTCTAGGCCACCTATTCAGCTCAGAGATGCTATCTCTCCATATATTGACTGTCCATGAGACACAGTCATGCAGCTTCATGTGGACATCAAGGCATCTCATGACCATTGTTCTTGTCCTTCGCAGAGGTTCAGTATGAAAAAAAAAACTAGAGCCATGGGGAGAGACGTCCCCCACAGTGTTTCATTAAGAAAAGGAACTCCTCGTGCAGCTCTAGAAAATCCATGAACCTAACTTTGGAGTAGGATAGATGAGAAGATTTTTTTTTACCCTCAAACCTGAAATTCATCTCCGTGAGGAATCAAACTTAGGACCTGAGGGGTGCCGTCGGATCCATCTAACCACTCAGGCTAGAAGACCTTTGGCCAGAGGTTCAATATGTATTTCCTTACCATTGTTCACCAGTAACCCTTCTACCTAGGCTAGACGCTAAAGATAGAAGATAAAGGCATGCATTTGATGACCGTAAGGCGACCAGAATTGCTGTTCTCCTTGTACCATCGAAGAGACAGATTTGCTCATGCATCGGCTCCTGAACAAAGTCTACTAAGCCTGCCTATCGTAAAGCCGCTGGCACAAAACCTGGACTAGCTAGCTAGGTTGCACGCACATTTGGAGCAAGGAGTAGCAAGTCGTTGATGGCAAGTTGCCGCCGGCGAGGATTAGTTTACTCCAACTTCACATACATTCCTCTATCTTTCGGCCATCGTCGTCTAGCTTTGCACACATTCCTCGCCTTTTGAAGAGATGCACTTGCACTGGAATTTGGAAAGCTAAGCGTGATGCTCGCCTAATTTGTTAGTTCACTCTTCGTCACTGTGCTGGGTGACGAGGATTGAGGCCGGCCGGATTATTGCTATGCGATGCATGCGAGCATCGTATATGTACCATATCATTGTACAAATCTGATATGAAGAAACTAAAGAAGCATACATATCATTGTTGCGCATCTACTGTCGATTTTATTAGTGCCATCGTGCTAAACGGCTTTGAAATCGCAGCGCGCGGCGTATAACGCTAGCGTGCGCGGCTGATGCTAGTAGCTACTAGATTCTTTGGATTTCAACTGATCCGAGGATAGATCTAGAGAACAATTTGATGGGCTTTTGGGCAAAAGGGACCGCGCGCGGTTTCATTCCAGCTTTGCTGCTTTCAGTTTTCTGTGCTGCAACTTGGACACGGGGCAACGGAGTGATGATTACACAGTAGCTAGCCACAGTCAAATAATCTCTCTGTATCTCTTTTGTGAATGCGTAGCAGGTGAGGGCGAAAAAAAAAGCTCTCTATTGTTGCACTGTAGCATCTACTGGGACATATGTCGAACGGTTCACCTGCCGCACTGTAGCCACACCAGGAGCATGCACCAAAGTCAGATCTGCTGTCACATCTAGTCACTATAGCAACATGGTAGCTGTATTAGGACTAGATGTATAGAGTTGTATAAATAGTTTGTTACTGTAACTCAGTAAAGAGAGAGTTTAGATTTGTTATCTCCTGTATAGAGCTTCGGCCAACGCTGGTGTCTCTATTGTGTGTGTATGCTCTGTTCTCCCTCTCTTCTTCTACCTTTAGCCATAGTGTGTAGTCGGCAACGACAGTTCGTGATCGGCACTACTAGTGTATGCTCGGCAACACTAGTGAATGGTCGGTTATCTCCGTACCGGAGATCGAGGAGCTAATAAGTGGTATCGGAGCCGTACAAACGCCGACACCGAACTAACTGCTGGCGATGACGCATGGTTCAGAGATGGGCGACAGCAGTGGCGCTGCTGTGGCTGCCCAGCCACGACAGGAGGTCGTTGTTCGCACGGTGCGGGAGGTCAGCGACACTAGTTGGCCGATGCTGACTCGCACCAATTATGGAAAGTGGTCGGTGACCATGAAGGTCAAGCTTAGAGCCCGACGACTCTGGAATGTTGTTGACAAAGGCACCGAAAATGAAGAAGATGACA